TTTGTCCTAATAAACAAAAATTCATTAAAGTCTAAGCAAAATCTAATTGAGATGGTTGCTTCAATTCAATTCTAGTTTGATTCGATTAATTCCAGTCATTTTCCCATCCCATTTGAAGCTTAGGGAATGGATAAGGCCACAATTACAGAATCTTTTATTATTGTTACGTGTTGACACTTGGCCGATCCACTGGGCCCATGGCCCATCTCTTTCGAACCATGTGGCATCTTATTCGAGGCCCCAGCCAAACGTGGCCCAAGTGCTGAGGCCGAATCTATTATGCCGAGGTGACCTTGTAGCCGAGGCCCTTTCCTCCGAGGCCCAATCTTCTCCGAGGTCCTAAGGCTCTAAGCAGTATTCCTCCCCAAAGATTCGATCTTATACAAGGATCCTTCCTAATTGATCAATGGGACACTCATCATAGAATGCAAACATCTTGTCTTGTCCATATAGTGACAGAGCCGCCAATTAATAAATGTGTAGCAGACTAGGAAGTCAAATGTGATGCCTATAATTTGGCGTGTAAACTTACGAGATGAGGCTACGTGTACTCCCAACCAAGGACCACGATCTAATTTGTAATACGATAAATACTCCCCTATGTATCTCTCACAAGGGTAACGCAAGATTCAACATAAGAACCAATACAACATTCTTTACATTTAACTCTTTTGGCATTCTACAAAGATCGATTGATAATTATTGTACAATCGTTATGCAAACATCTTGTCGGATTTCGAACGTTTTCGTCCTACGCCTTTGAGCTGCTCCCACGCCCCTTTTACTACTAGTTATAGACCGTCCACGTGTCTTAGCGTGTTGGACCAGACTTACGTGTGCGCGGGTGGGTCCGATATATGTTGGTAACGTATTCTGGAGTCAATAGATTGGCGCCGTCTATGAGAAACCATACTATAACCATGAACAACCGTGTGGAGAAAACTCATCGAAAAGAATATTTGGGCATCCCCCTTGAAAAAGGATTTATTCTTGGAAAAGAACAAGTGGAAGCCCCATAACTTAGCAACAATTTGAAGTTGGAACAGAAGAGAATGAGTTTAGATGAGGATGTACCCCCTAGGAGAGTAAGAGAAAATGTGGGGATGTCCCCACCTGCAGCTGTCCCTGCAACTCGGCATCGACCTCACCACCACTATAGAAGGGTGGCATGCGGATGGCCGCTCAGTTGTCAAGAGAGATGGCCACCATGGCTGCAAACATGAGGGACATTGCTAACCAAAACATGAACTCATGGCCCAAATGCAGAGCCAAGGAGGCTTCCCTATTCCTCCCTATGCACTCCAAGAACATTACGACCAAGATGAGGAAGTTCAAAGCCAAAGAGTTGTACCGCCAGAATACAGCCGAGGCAGGAGCCCTATGGTGAGGGAAGTAGAAGTTGATGTTTCCTCTAATTATGCTGCTGGCCGACCCATCGAGGCCCGATATAATCAGGACAGCTTTCCACCAGCATATGATCCAGAACAAAGACCTAAGATGTCTAACAGTATCTTTGACAGAATTAGCCCCGCGGAGCCGAGGCATAGGCAACAAGAACAAAATCAACGCGAGCCTTAGAATAGATCACAGCCCCTACCTCCAATGACTCGTCAGTCAGAGGAAAGGCAGAAAAATGCCCCCTGTGCTACTCCGCCTAGAAATAGGCGTCAAAGGAGGGAAGAGGAGGCTAGGACCCAAGCTAGATCCTCTCATCAGCCACCTAGGTATGAAGCCGAAGAGAACAATAACCTGGATGAACAGCAAAGGTCTTGTTACTTGGACGACAACGATGAAAATTTCCCATTTTCAAGGGAACTAAGGAATGCCCAGGTTCCAGGCCATTATATGATGCCCAAAAGTATGATGGGAGGCGACCTGGAGAAACACCTAAGTGCTTACAAAACTTATATGAGCCTTAGAGACGCCTCCCCAGCTATGAAGTATAGGGCTTTTCATTTGACACTTAGTGGAGCGGTTGAAACTTGGTACAGTTGACTGCCGCCTGGAAGCATAAGAAGTTGGCTAGAATTCAAGAACACCTTCCTAAAAAGGTTTACGGTGAGCAAAGAGGGAGAAGCCCTTATCCAGTGCATTCAAGACATGAGGCAAGCGCATGGGGAATCTCTAAAAAGCTTTTAATCACGCTTTACTGACGAAATGACGTATTGCGTGCAAGTCACTGATCATGAGGCCTTGTCAGCCCTAAGAGGAGGTCTGGCTATGAACACCCTGTTTTGGAGGGACGTGCAAAACCAAGATCCCACCACCTATGATGTCCTATTGGAAATGATGAGGTGGGAGATTATCAATGAGGATCTAATTGAACACAAGAATCGGGCCAGCAGAGGCCTCACACCTCAACAGAAACAGGGAGCCAGAGGACCGCCCTCCCACTTGATGGACTACCAGACGAACCCGCTTGGTAATGGAAATTCAGGGCAAGCAATTGCTATAGCCACTTTGAACACAGTCCCAACTTTGGCATATGAAGATGTCAACCCAACTACCACCGGCCCGCAAGCAGGAACTTCATAATAGGCCTCCCGTAGAGGAAGAGGCCGGGGCGTGGTTTGGGGCCTAAGAATAGGCCTAACCAGAACCTCCCGACTATTGTGCATACCACCGTTCTTATGGTCATGACACATCCAAGTGTCGGGAGTATGCGAATCGCAACCGGTGGGAACACCCTCAAGACAGAAGGAATGAATCGCCACAAGCAAATAGGCTCCCGCCTAGGAACGATCGACGACCTAGGCGTGAAGAGGCTGAGCCTCGCCAGCGAGATGTATCCCGCACTGAAGGAAACATGATGCAAGAAGACCCAAGGAAGGACATAGGCATCATGGAAACCACCACACACAAGAAGAGACCCTTATTCACGAGATAGATACCATATTTGGAGGCCCCTACGTGGGAGGTGAGACACGAAATGCAAAACGAAAGTACGCCCGAGAGGCTAAACACCTCCCGCTAACAATTATATCGTGGATAGCAACTCCCGAAGGAACCAAGTACCACCTATCGTCTTCACCCAAGATGACTCTGAAGGGGTTCACTACCCCCATTGTGATGCACTTATGGTAAGGGCCGTTGTGGCCCGAAATGGGCTCAAGCGAATGCAATGGCAGCTCCGTTAACATCCTGTTCGAATCCACCTTTGATAAGATGATCCTGGACCACGAGCTAACGCCCACCTCCACTCCTCTATACGGATTTATCGGGGATAGTATCACTCCGAGAGGAAAAATAACATTGGCAATAGAGATGGGAGAGTCCCCCCAAACTACCATGAACTTTATGGAATTACTTATTGTAGACAGTCGGTCAGCTTACCACGGAGTCTTGGGTAGACCGACCTTGAAGGAGTTAGGGGCTGTCACTTCTATCCACCACTTATGCATGAAACTCATAACTGAGAACAGGATGATAACAGTGAGAGGTGACCAAAGAGGATCCAGAGAATGCTACTCGAGCTCTATTAGAAAGGTTGAGCCCCGAGACATACATGTCATCCTGACTGATGTGGATATGGCAGACGTCCCAAGCGAGGCCCCTCTCGAACGAGAGGATGTTGACATGATCGACGCATCTCCTGAGCAGGAAGAAATCTCCATGATCGATGAGATTGACCCCCGTGTGATTGAACACGAACCCCAAGCAACTCCGGTTGAGGAACTAGAGAGCTTCCCTGTCGACCCCCGCAACCCTCGAAGGTGTTGAAAGTAGGCATAGGCCTGGGCAACGACATGAAAGAAAAATTGAAAGACTTTCTCTACAAGAACCTTAACGTCTTTGCTTGGAGGCATGAGAACATGGTGGGCATAGACCCCAAGGTCAGCTGTCACCATCTAAAGATAGATCCTAAGGTTACCCCGCATCGACAGAAGAGGAGAGCCCTCAACCCAGAAGGGTATGAGGCTTTGAAGAAAGAAGTGCAAAAGCTAATCAAGAATGACTTCATCAGAGAGGTCATCTACCCGAAGTAGGTCTCCAACCCGGTGCTAGTCAAGAAGCACAATGGCAAGTTGAGGGTATGTATCAACTTTATGAATCTTAATAAGGCATGCCCCAAAGACAGCTTTCCCCTTCCGAGAATGGATCAATTGGTAGACTCTACCCCCGGGCATTAGCTCCTGAGTTTCATGGACACCTACTCGGGCTATAATCAAATACCCATATACCCGGCTAATGAGGAGAAAACCTCCTTCATCACTAACAGAGGCCTTTACTGCTGCAAAATGATACCCTTTGGGTTGAAAAACGCCGGAGCCACCTATCAAAGACTTGTTAACAAAATGTTTGTGGACTTCATCAGTAATACAATGGAAGTCTACGTGGACGATATGCTTGTGAAAAGCCTGAAGGCGGGCGACCATGTGACACACTTGGATGACACTTTTCGAGCCCTCAGAAGGTACCGAATGAAGCTCAACCTTCTCAAGTGCGCTTTTGGCTTTGCCTCCAGTAAATTCTTGGGGTACATGGTCAACCAAAGAGAAATCGAAGCCAATCCTGAAAAGATCAAGGCTTTGTTTGAGATGAGATCACCCCGGAAACCCAAGGAAGTCCAAAGCCTAACGGGACGAGTGGCAGCCCTTAGCCGCTTTGTCTCCAAGGCCACCTATAAATACCTCCCGTTCTTCAAAATATTGAAAGCCAGGAAGAAGTCCAAATGGAATGAAGAGTGTAAAGAGGCCTTCCAGGGCCTGAAAAGATATCTAGGGCAAGTCCCCTCCTCTCCAAGCCAAAGCTCGGCGATATCCTTCAACTGTACTTGGCCATCTCCAATGAGGCCATCAATACGGTCCTAACCAGAGAGGAAGGAACCACCCAACTCCTCGTGTATTATACCAGTAAGATATTCCTATTTTCAGAAACTCGCTATCCCGATATGGAGAAGCTAGCCTTAGCTTTGATCATAGCTTCTAGGAAGTTAAGACCCTACTTTCAGGCACACACCATTCACGTGCTAACCAACTTCCCCTTGAGGCAAGTGCTACAGAAGCCAGATGCCTCATGAAGGCTACTAAAATGGGCAGTGGAATTAAGCGAATTCGACATTGTCTTTAAGACAAGGACGACCATCAAGGCCCAAGCTTTAGCTGATTTTGTGGCAGAGTTTGCCAATGTACCTGGGATGGAAGAGGTTATGGAACCTGTTGAGCTCCCCGTGTGGAACTTGTTCGTGGATGGTTCGGCTGGAGACACAAGTTCGAGAGCTGGAGTAGTTCTGATCAGCCTAGAAGGTCACAAGTTGAACTCAACAGTAAGGTTTGGATTTAAGGCCACCAAAAATGCTGGTGAGTATGAGGCACTCCTCGCAGGCCTAAGATTAGCCAAAAAATGCAAGTACGGAGGCTAAGTATCAACGGTGACTCCCAGCTGGAGGTAAGCCAAGTGAATGATAGTTTTTCAGCTATGGATAAAACCATGACTTCCTACTTAAAGATGGTGATGAACCTCCTCCTATTCTTTGAAAAAGTTGAAATAATACAGATCTCTCGCCTCAAGAACGCACATGCAGATGCGCTCTCTAAACTCGCGAGCAGCAAGGACTCGAAACTACTTGTAATAGTTCCAATTGAGCACCTCCTCACGCCATCGATCGAGGCCCCTAAAGTGATGTGGGTCGAAGGAACCCCCACCTGGATGCAACAAATCATAGCCTACCTAAAGGACCAGGTCCTTCCCACTGACAAAGATGAGGCTTACAAGCTGAGAAGGAGGTCAGCTCATCTCCTCTTCATTGATGACGTACTCTACAAAAGAAGCTTCTCCTCACCACTTCTTCTCTGCATTTGGGGGGGGGGGGGACGAGGCCACTTACATTCTGAGGGAAATCCATGAAGGTGTTTGTAGTAATCACTCAGGAGGACTAGCCTTGGCACAAAAGGTATTGAGACAAAGGTACTACTGGCCCACCTTGAAAAAGGATGCACTTCAATTCGTGTGCAAATGTAACAAGTGCCAACGGTTCTCTCCCATTCAGAAGCAACCCTTGCAGGAGCTAACTACCGTCTCCAGCCAATGATCGTTCTCCAAGTAGGGCGTGGACCTGATAGGTCCCTTACCTAAAGGCAGAGGAGGCACGAACTTCGCCATTGTGGCCATTGGTTACTTCACGAAGTGGGTTGAGGCCAAACCGCTAGCAAAAATCACAGAAGCAAACACCTTCAAGTTCTTTTGGAAGAATATCATATGCCAGTTCGAAATTTTCCACTCCATAGTTTCAGACAATGGAAGGCAGTTCGACAAAAAAAAGGTCAGGAACCTATGCGAAGAACCTGGAATCAAGAAGCACTTCTCAACGCCTCATCATCCTCAAGCTAATGGCCAAGTTGAAACTGTAAACAAGACAATCAAACATGTCCTCAAAAGAAAACTGATTCATTAAAGGAAGTCTGGGTTGATGAGCTGCCTCAAGTGCTTTGAGCGATCCAAACTACCACCAGAACTCCCACGGGGAAAACTCCATTCCTCATAGCCTATGGAACTGAAGTCATGAGTCCAGTCGATGTCGGCTTACCATCACTGTGTCGCCTACACTTTAGCGAAATATCTAATGACGAGCTATGAAAGTTCAAACTTGACTTCATTGATGAAAGAAGAGATGACTCCCAGCTGAGTCTTACTGCTTACCAAAGGAAAATGACCAAATACTTCAATTCCAAGGTGAAGAAGAGGTCCTTCCGAATCAATGACCTGGTCCTTAGGAGAGTCTTCCTCTCCTCCAAGGGACCTAGAGAAGGTACCTTGGGTCCAAATTGGGAAGGTCCTTACAGAGTTAAAGAAGAACTTTGACCCGGCACCTACAGAATTGAAGACATGGATGGCAAGGCACAGCTTCGTCCATGGAACATTGAGCATCTCAGAGTTTACTACCAATGATTGTAGTGCATCTCTGGAGGATCTTTCCCATCTTATGTAACTGATTTTCAGTTTTAAAAATGTCATTAAATTCAGATACGACTCTGAAAGCATGGGAGCCTCAGAGGAGAGGTCCTGATTCCCAACTCTGGGGTCACTTCGCTCGAACTCCGAGGTTCACTCCACATGCCTCCCTTTGGCGAGACTGAATGCCAAAGGAAGAAACCTCTACATGGTTGCACCATCCACCATGTGGGGAAGCGTGGGAGCCTCAAAGGAGAGGACCTGATTCCCAGCTCTGGGGCTACCTCACCCGAACTCCGAGACTCACTCCAGATGCCTTCCTTTGGCGAAGCTAGACGTCAAAAGAAGAAGCCTCTACATGGCTGCACCATCCACTATGTAGGGAAGCGTGGGAGCCTCGAAGAAGAGTTCTTGATTCCCAACTCTGGGGTTACCTTTCTCGAACTACGAGGCTCACTTCACATGCCTCCCTTTGGCAAGGCTGAATGTCAAAGGAAGAAGCTTCTACATGGCTGCACCATCCACCATGTAGGGAAGCGTGGAAGCCTCGGAGGCGAGGTCCTGATTCCTAACTCTGGGGTCACCTCGTCCGAATTTCGAGGCTCACTCCAGATGTCTTCCTTTGTTGAGGCTGAACGCCAAAAGAAGAAGTCTCTACATGCACATCTCATCCACCATAGCTTTACCTTCCTAATTCGAACTCAATGGAAAGGTCTAGTCAAATAACCTATTCAGTTTACATTAGATACTTCATTCAACTTGGACATTGTGGTTTATTTCCAGCGATGGAACCTAAGTGAAACTCATTAAGTCATCATTTATATGGCTTGACTATTTCAAGCGATGGAAGTTAAGATGTCAAGTTCGGATTGTTAACTGAAACTTATGCTTGATTATTTATCAAGGTCTATGCACATGATATTGAAAAGAAAAAAAATGTTGCAAAATAGCATTCATTGATACTAAAAACATTACAAGAGAACTCAAAGCCAGTACATTGATATAAACTGAAAATGAATCCTATACTAAGCTTTGGATGATGGAGGGAGTGCCTCTGCAGCAGGAGCTTCAGCATCTTGAGCTTCAAACCCTTCTTCAGTTCTTTTGTTGCTTCTTCTCCTGCTGCTTCCTCACCTGGAGTCTGAGGCACCTCATCTACAAACTCAGACCTAAGTTGGGACAGGTCGTAGCCTGGATAAAGCTCCTCAAGTGTATCTATCACCTCAGCGTAGTCGAAGTTCCTCCAGTATGTGCTGAAGCTCTGGTACTCCTTGGTGTTGTGGAAATTGGCAATGAACTCTTTAAATGCCTCCTCCCCCGCCACCTTGGCTGCGTCCCTCGCCTTTGCCAATTCATCAACATGCCATTTTATTTGGTGATTTAGAAAATTATATGCATCTTTGGCCCCAGCAAGCTCAAGGTTTGCTTTTTCCAGGGTCTCAGCAGTGACCTTCTGATGATTATTTGATGTCTCCACCTTTTTAGTGAGGAAGGCCACCTTATACTGAGACTTATATGCCTCCTTCTTCAAGGCCTCTATTTGGGCCAAGGCAAATTCCAACTTGGCAGCATCTTCAATTCTTTGGGTCTTTGTCTCCTCTACCTCGGCCCTTAACCTCTTCAACTCCTCCTTAACGGAGGCCAACTTCTTTTCTGAGGACATGGTCCTCGTTTAGAAGTCAGTGAGGACCTCCCTACACTCCAATGCAAGGCAAAATGTCCTCGTACTTTGGCTCACCAGGGCCCTCGAGAGGTCGACGATGTGACGAGGCGTGCAACACCTACCTATCAATCCAAAATTTATAAAAACTAGCTGCAGCACCTCGTACCTCCTCAGGAAGAGCCTCCAACAATGCTAGGGCAAGGTCTTCGTCACGCCCAACCAGGAAGTTAGGGGATTTTCCCTGGGTCCTTACGGGTTTCTACTGCGCAACCTCCTCTTTTGCCTTCAAAGCAGCCAACCTCCCTGCTCTTCCGTAGCCTCCTCAGCCTCGGCCTTTCGGACCATTTCCACCTTCACCACCTTCATGGAAGCGTCATGAGCTTCGGTGGTCAGGAGTCCTTGCTAGTTTGGGAAATTGAAGTCCCAAACGTCCCCGAAGAACTGGTGAGGTGAAGTAGCTTCCTCTTCTTCTAGGAATCCTCAGGGACTTTCTCTTTTCCCCGAGGCTCCCTGTCTTTCTCTATCTTAGGAGCCTCCTCCTCAGCAGCCTCGGAGGTATTAATCTTGGAGAGGTGCTCCACCTTGCCTCTCATCTCTTTTGCCCCGCTTGACCCAAGTTTCAGAAGCCTAGCCCCAACAATAGTAGTGGCCTTCATTATGGTAGCCATGTCAGGGCGGGGTACTCCCTCCTCTTAAACTTATCTGCAACACAAGGGAACAATAGATCAGAGGTCGAGATCAGAGGTCGACATCAATAAGCAAACTTTTCCATCACAAAGTATAGGCACTTCTTACCCTTAGAAGCCATCTGTCCGAAGTCAAGGAAATAACGGCTTCGGTCGATGAGATGATCGAAGTGGCGAAGCTTCAGAGGACGCTTGTAAACGTTCTCTATGACGTCAAACTCTGTTTCGTGGAGTTGGTACCTCGTACTCGAGTCTACAAAACATGCAACAATAATTAGCAAAAAAATTCCAGAAAGCTCAACAGAATGTAAAGTACAGCTTAGGCTGGGGGAATCACGAGCTTCGTAGTACTGGGTCAGTACCGTGCAAGCCAAGGCTTTGTCCCAAACTACTGCCTACCAGTTGCCCCAAACCCAGAACGACGACTCCTTCCACCCATTGATGGAAGAAGAAAATCCTACCACAAAGGGGTGTGCGACCTCAGGGACTAATGTAGTACCATTCCTTTGACTCATCTTTGCCCAAGACTCTGGGCTAGAAGATGGTCTGGAAGACATGCAAAGGCATATCCTCCCCCATCGACACTTCCTTCCACAGGAAGTAAGACCTCACCAACTGGCTCCACTCATTCGGCAGAACCTAGGTCGGCAACAACATAAAATTCCTTAGCACTGCCCTGAAGAAGGGGTGCAGATGAAGAAGCATACCTGTCTTAAACAAGTATTCACTGACTGCGACACATCCGAGCCTCGGATAACAAGCCCATTCATCGGCCTCGGGGACTAACATTTCTATATTATGAGGCACGTAGTACTTCTCCCTTATCTCCCCAACCTCTTTAAGGTCATATTTGAGGGTATCCGAGACGCACCCCACTCCTCATCGTAATTTACGGGCTCCTCAGTCATAGCATAATGTTCGACCTCGGAGTCTCCCTACGAACTACCCCCTCTCCAAACGATGCGATAGTGACTGCCTCCTACCTGAAGTGGACTCCATATCAGAATAAGTTCAAAAAAAGGACAAAGATCGCAAAACAAGTTATTCTCACAAGAAATACCTACACAATCGACTAAGGAAACTAAAGGACGCGAGAAAACGAGAACAAAGCAAAGCTTCAACACCGGAAAATGATAATTTCAAAAAACACAGAGAATTGCAGAGATAGAAAGGTCAAAAAATGGGAGTCTCCTGCCTTTTATACAAGTCCAGGACGAACACCAGCCATCAGATCAAGGCTCATCAAATCTGGACCCTTCATTGTAGACCAAATCCGAGGCGTAGAATTCAAACCGTTTTCAAAATCAACACCTTCGATTCAAACGTGCTCCCTACGTGCCTTTCCAAACGCATCTCCTTCTAGAAGGCCCAGCTGTAGCCATCATTGCACATTCATGTAGCAGCCAGACGTGCCTTGGAAGTCGAAACGGCTCAGCTACCTTTTCTTGGTAACATGCACAAAACATCAAATCATTAGCACAAAGATCGAAGACAATCATCTCTTTACGAGCCTCGACAGGTTTGATCCACTCACCGCCTTGGCTTCTTCGCAGTTCAGCCACATCTTCGCAAGTCTCGACATGTTCGATCCACTCACCGTCTCGACTTCTTGGTCTGCTTCTTCGTAGTTCAACTACATCTTCACAAAGCCTCGGCATATTCGATCCACTTCACCACCTCGACTTCTTCGTCACCTTCTCCAATCACAGCAACACCACCACTTTCAACTCCAACCATAATATAAATACCTATACTTGAACTTGGGGGACTATTAGTTGAGGTATAAAAAAT